GGCATACAAAATATACAAGAGCATCCACATGAGTATTGTTTTTCTCAGGAAATATGAAACGTAGCTTAATAATGGGGAAAGTTTTGAAGTTTGTGAAAGCAGTGTTGTGTTCTCCATTAGCCTTATATATTTTACTATCCACACTCAGAGAAACCTCAGACTACATCAACAACTCCATTCACATCCACACATCTCCCAGAACTTCAAATTTAAATGAGAATGAATCATTTCTCTAATGCAATAGAGCACATGGGCTTGGACCCAACATCTATTCGGTCACTGGGCTGTGCCAGTTTGTTCGGTGCAGAACTGATTAGACAGAGTTTTACATTGTGTGTGCTAGCAGGGCTATCAGACTGAGGCCCAATAAAAGCTCTGGAAAATCCATGTTTGGAGAAGAGGAGGGGACAGAGGGGCTGGTGTTGAGCCTCAATCAGAGAGAGCTGGACATCACTGAATGGATACTGCTGCGCTCATGCATTTGCCCTTTCATTTGGAGGGGGAGGGAAGGAAACAAAATGCTGGCAGCGACAGTTTCTGTTGCCTTCTTTGATTGGTGTTGTTCATGCTAAGCAACATATTTAATACAAACTGCTCTCACATGTGAAAATTGCTAGAAGATTTGTGTTCCACTACTGCATATCAAGGGATAGAGGCTGCAGAATGCAAAGCATGTGCTAAATGTAAGTGGATCGGGTCAATGCTCTCTCAGTTTCAATGTTAAAAGACACAGTTGCAAAAAAGGTGCCAAACATTTTTCCTCTACAAGACAAGGTGAAGCAGCTTAACCAGTTTGCTGTTACCAGCTGTACATGTAACAGCAAAGCGTCATTATCTTTACTTAAGATCTTTTACCATCTTTTGATATTTTGATACATCCATCGCTACGGTTCTGAAAGGATGTGTAGCTGTCAAGAAGCCTTTACTGAGAAAAGAAAATTTGCAAATCAAACAAAGAAGCTGCAGGTATTTCAGAACAATGGACTGGCCACTCTAGAGTCCGACCTCAACATCACTAAACGTGTATGCGATGGATCGTGAAAAGCATAAAATACAACCAACTTCTCTGACTGAACTTTGGAAGTGCAGATTTCTTATAAGCAAGTCTCCAGAAAACAACTGAGGCTGTAATAACGCTAAAATACTGAAACAAACGGCACCTGTGTAATTTTCTGTTAATGGTTTCTGCTTTTCTTCCTGCTAAAAAATGCTAAAAAATGAATATTTTGTATTCAGTGTCCATTTTGACTGGAAATTAAATAAATGAAGGGTGGTCTTTGATTTGTACGCAGTATTGTACACTCTCAGGAAAAATGGACTAAACTGTCACTGGGGTACCTCAGGGGTACGTCTTCAGTACCTTTAGTTTGGGAACATAATTTCAACATGTTTCATTACAATTATTTATTATTATTAATTATTACATTAACTGTACATTTACTGTCCGTAAAATATATGGACATGTACTTTAATATATTTGAAATACATTTCAAATGCATTGCAATCTATGCTGAAATACATTCCAAACACTAAGTCTAATGCACTTCACTGTTTGGATACCTTTTAAAAAAGAGTTTGTATTCCAGCATCTTAATTTTATGTATTAGCAAATGAACCTTTAACATGGCAAAGCAAGTGTTGTAGATACTGATACTGAAAATGCAGTTATGATTTGATATCTTATTTAAAATACATTTTGTGTGAGTGTCTTACTGCATACGTACATGGTTAATGCAAAGTACAATGCAAAACACAGAAGTCAGTACTGTTTATTTGATGCATGTATATTCAGGTCTATCTGTAACTTGCATTGCATGCAAGTCTATCTGTAACCATGCATTGCAACAATCTATGTGTTAAACACATTTTGAATATATATTTTTCCATATGGGTTGACTCCACACACCCTATCTTGTGTCCAGCATTTTTATTTAACAGGTCTGTTTTGAAGCAGTAGGTCATGAAAAGGTACATATATGCTTCTTTCTCCTGGGAAAAACTTACTGAAGGTACACAGCTGGACCTTATAACCACTGTTGTACCTTTAAGGGTTCATTTACAGTTTTGTATCTTGATGAAAGAAAAATGTACCTGCACCTTTTTTTCAATACCAGAGGTCTAGGCCTTCACATTCAGTATCAAATTACTATCAAATCAAACAAACTGAGAAGCAAGCGAGGGAACGGAAACAGCATTAAGAGAGGCTAACAACACAGTTAACACAGAACCAGGTAAGCAAGTCTCTATCTCGTGCTATATGTCTACACATGTAGTCTAAGATGTCACTCTGCAGTAAGGCAGCACCCAGATCGGCCTTTGATGTGGAAACAGGCACTTTGAAGGGCTGACAGTTGTAACGGCTTTGCAGTTGTAACCAGTTTGTGTATTTCTATTGTGTGCTTGGATTACAGCCCTCTACTCTCTGCTCATGTGTGAGTAAGCCTCCTTTTGTGGGTGGTAAACCCTGAGCATAGGGCAGGGCGTTTAAACCCGCTTGCGTGGGGATTTTTCTATTACCTCTCCCCCCCCCAGACTGCTGACACCAACACAACCTTCCCGCAGCCAGACATCATATCCAAAAACCCCATACTGTCCCAGGCTCATCTTCAGAGAACTGCCAGCTCAGACATCTCATTCCTCCAAAAAATCCAAAGCCATAGAGACACTGTTATGGTGAGGGTGGAAATGTGGGTGGAAATTGGTTCTACGTCAGTGTAATACAACGGGAAACATTTTATCCATGCATGCATGTGTTAAACCTATGTATCACACATAGATTGCCTGTGATGTTGCTAAAAATGCATGTTTAAAAATGGATTTGCAGGCTTTTAAATGGTAAAGAGACTTTACATTATGTTGAGGTTCTAAGTTTAAAAAGGCTCCTGATACTTGCACATCTGTTGCAGCAACAACTCCAAATAATGAAAAATCTCTTGCTTTTTTGATTAGTTACATTTCTCACACGCCAATCAACGCAGTTCATATACTGAAATAAGCTGCAAAAACAAAATACACTGTTTTTGTGATGTCATGAAACACTACACATTTACATATATCTGCCAACTTTAGCCCCGCCCATTCACATTGAAGTTGGGCAATTTTTTTAATAAATGCAAAAAAAGGGACATATGGGATCTTTAAAGAACCATCTGTCAAAAGGTTCATTAGGAAACCATAACATTTTTGTCGCTTTATTTTCAAAGGCCATCCAGCAGCTTGTTTTTTTGTGCTACATGTGCAGCCCAGACACTTTCAGCAAAGGTTCCATCTGGCTCCCTCTGCTGCATGATGGACTTCAATAAAGTGTAGTGCTTTGGCGCCCTCTTGTGGCTATTTCTGTTAATACTTACGTCAGTTGATCCTATCTCTGGCCCTGAAGTGTCCCCTGATCCACCTTATCAGCGGATTAACAATCCTTTCCTAAGGGGAAACTCCAGAAATCAACTGATTTTACAGGGGAGTTTCACAAATCAACTGATCTTACAGGGGAATTTCACAAATCAACTGATTTTACAGGGGAATTCCACAAATCAAATGATTTTTCCAAACCAGTCATTCAGAGTGGTTTAATGTGAAGTAATTAACTGCACAGAAATTCACTGACTGGTGGTGATAGGAACCAGGGGTCACAATGTCCATCATACAAGTACAGCCATTTATACTATCCAAAAGTGAGTCTTCTGAGTTTTTATATTTAATGCTGATAATGGTAAAATAGTCTTAAATATGAATAATTCTTAAAAGTTTTTCTTTGGGCACGGTTTTATGGAAGTCCATGTCTGCCACTGGAAAAAAACAACATATAGCCATTTAGTTATCTATCTCACAATAATGAGATTTTGTAGCATCTCATAACAATGAGAATCATCACTATCAGAATAACGTCCTCTCATGAATGACTTACTTTCTACTGACTTAGTACCTCATAATGACTTCGTCATAATTATGAATTACCATCTCATAATTATGACCTTTCTCATGAGAAAATTCTCATTATGATAGTAAAGATTATTATAAGATACTCAGCCATAATTATAAGACACATTCAAACTATGAGATACTAAGTCATAATTATGAGACAGAAATTCATTATTATGAGATAGCAAGTCATGATAATGAGATGTTGTCATAATTATGAGATACTAAGTCATCATTATGGAAAACCTTATTATGACATACCAAATGACTATACCTTTTTCCCCAGTGTCAGAAACAGAAAGCCATACTATTTTATCCTAAGATGCTCTGCATGTACCTCTACACAACTGAGTTAAAAATAGGTTGGGGCCAAAACTTTATCTTAAACCAGTATCAGATATCAAGCAACTTATTTGTATTAATTTTGTGCTAAAACTTTGTGTGAGGTAGCTTTTACAGACATCTTTCACACTTCATGCCATCTGGTATCTCTATTATTGTGCAGATTTTGACATTGGGCCAAGTATCTCTAAAATAGTGCATTTCACATTAAACCACCATGAATGGCTATGTTGTCATCTGAATGACCTTTTTTAATCCATGCAATTACTTTTTATAGAGCAGGAAAAACACAAAAAAATGTAGGACTTCACAACTGAACTTAGCTTTATGAACTCTCAAGCTTTGAGCCGCAAGCATGTTATAAACAAACTTTTGCTGCATCCAAAACCATGCACTACCATATCATACATACAACACAAATGGCATACTATCTAGAATTGTAGTGTGCACTTTTGGATGGAGCTTTTGTCCAGAAGCTGACCCTTACCACCCCTGAAAAGTTAAAAATAACTAACTAAATAAATAAATAATCAAGCAGTTTCCGATATTGGACACCTTTTCTTTCTACTTCATAAGTTGTTTAATACCATAAGCGACTTTGATAGTACAGAGACCAGCTATGACTGAAGATAAGTATTTTACAATCTGACATCATATCCAACTCAATATTTACTTTTGCTTCCCCGCCCTTAACAACGATGGGTACATTTGTCTTCCATGGATTATACAACACGAGGCAGTTGTTTAGAGACAGTTTATTAGAAATATGTAGACAAAACCCCACTGCGTTTAACAAACTGAAGTTCCTCAACCTGCGGTGACAGGTTAGCACAACATAAACATTTTTTAGTCACACTTGCATTGATATTAGGAGTGCAAACACAATTTGGTCAGCTATTGATAAGTTACCCTTTTGTTCTGTACAGCGGTGAAGCTTACATCGTATCACTTCTTTTTACATAAATGGAAGATATCAGTGTTCAGATGCCTGCTACACGTTCGAGTGTGACAAACAATGAATATTAACTACTGAATTGAAATCATTTTTGTAAAGCGATGTGTACAGACAGGACTATGTACTTTGAACATATTTGATTTACACGTCAACCTATTTGATGGATAAAACCCCGTCTAGAATGTCTATAAAAAAAGTGTTTACCAATGAAGCAGAACAAGCAAGTTCATCGACTTCAAATGCAGCTATGTTTAACTTCAGTAAATGTTTTGGCTAGTATTTGCGGTTGAACAAAGAAGCACAAGCCTGAGCAGAATGCTTGCTTCACTCCCACACACACAAAAAAAAAAATTAACATAAGAATTTTAATGAAATTTACAGTCTGGACCAGGTCTAATGCAATTGGGGGAGAAAAAAAAGTTATGTATTCTAATCACTGGGGGTTACAATGCGTATATGATATATAATGGACAGCTTACTGATACCAAGGGAAAAGGCGAGGATTGTTGCATCTCTGCACTACCCATCTCCACATCCACTGTTGAGTAAATGGATAATAACTAGAATCCACAAAACATCATGGAGAACTTCAAATTGTCCATGCAGAATAAAAAGGTTGAGACAGCACTGCTGATGACTGGAGACAGTCACCAACACAATGGTACTAACTCTGGTGCGACATGTTCGCGACACTCAGAGCCAGGAAAACAGCTCAAAATTTTTTTGTTTGTTTTGGTTGGTTTTTCATTAATGATTACCCACTCATAACTAGCCTTTTCTTCAAATAACAGTTAAATGATGATCCTTGTTTTCTGCCATAAGATGACTTTCTTTGCAGCTTCACTCAAGATCTGGCATCTCTGTAATTTAGACACATCTAGTTAGTTTCACATACATACATACAAATATTTATTTATTTATTTTAATACACACACACACACACACACACACACACACACACACACACACACACGCACGCAACAAATACATGTTCTGACCTGATACAACAAAAAGCAATTCAGACAGACTTACTTTCATCATCACTATCTGCAGAATCCTCCTGCAATTCAAAACCAAAAAGAAAACATTACTGTTTAAGAAATCATGAAGGTATCAACATTGACTAAATTTTATTTAAGCCCCAAGTATCAGACCTTTTTTGTCTAAGTAGACTATTTTAGGTATGAGACAGAAGTAGAAGAGACACCATGGTACTGCTCTGGTGCGACACCATTTCTTGCATGGTTATTTGACTTTATATATACACATATCAGAAACACCAACGTAACCTCAATCAACTAAGAGACCTTTTAAAAATTCAAATTTTCTGTGTGAAACTACCAAAAATAATCAAAATTTGCTGATTTGAATAAACTGATAAGCTAGTTATTTGAATTTGTGTGTCATGATTGTGTCTGTTTTATTTTCAGATTTTGACAGTATCTTTTACACATAAGGAATTAAACTGAATGAAGCATGCTTTTGTCTGACAAGGAAACGATCTTACATCATCCGCACCATCCATGTCAGGCAGATCATCCTCCCCTCCCATGTTGTTCATCATCTGCAAAACAACACATCAGAACACTCAGCACAATTCCTCTGAGTAAACCAATTCATTACACTCTTCAATATCAATAACATTCACCTCTGAGAAACGGTCATAACTGGACAACTCTTCATCTGAATCATCCTCCCAGTCTTTCCAGTTATTGAAATCAACACTGAGCCAATTGAGCTAAATAAAAAAATAAGACAGAATGAATACAATTCTGTATGTTTTGAACATGCAGACTATGTGAGTCAAACAATTACAAGAAATCTTACCTTTGTTTTGACTTTTGTTAACCTAGGCCATGACTTGCCTGCTTCTGCTTTTCTTAGACAACAAAACACAGATCTGTCTGTGCGTTTGTGTTTTGACTCCTGCAAATAAAGGGAAAAGTGCCTTCATTTAGTACATTTTTAGTACATCACCTACTAATGAAACAGAAGAAAATGACTCTATACTTACATTTGGGTCAATTGCCTCAAAAAGGTCTACTTCATTATGATATTTGACGGTATCAACTCCACCTACACAACTGAAAACACGACATAAAATATAGATGTATAAAGGCTGAGAAATAACACCAGGATCAAGAGTGAAAGGAACTGCCATTTTTCAAAATGAAATCATACCTGAAATCAAGTTTTGATTTGTCAAATTTCACTTCAACGTCCCTGCTGTCTTCTACACAGAATTCAACAAAGACAGAGTCCCGTCTGTCATACCACTTAGCATTTGCTGAGTGCCTATTAAAAAACAAATGAGGAATATTGGGAAAATGTGCTCAAGGACACATAAGAAAATGCCTATTAACACTATTTCACTCCCAACCATACTGCATAACTTACTCATGCGCAAACTGTAAGACACAGAAGCAGACGCATGAAATAACTTCATGATTTCATTTAGTTAACATTAGCAGCGCACAGTTAACGCAAAGAATACAGCACCCCAAATTCTGGATTTAGGGGTCATGTGAAGTGGATGACTGAGAGATGGTCATCGTTACCTTGGCACCACTAGCTAAAGCTACATTTGGACAGTTGGCTATCGCACAACCTCACTAGCTAGCAAACAAATGCTGAGATGGTGCGCCAGTTTAAAGGGGAGTTCCATCTATTTCTTCAAAATTTGGGCATAATTAAATGGTAAAGATGTAAATAAAGTCATTAAGAGTGGCTTGGTGTGAAATGCTCCCTTCTAAACAAACTTACCAAGTCAAAATTGTTCAAAGTGCTGGTGATAGGAACCAGACGCTTGAAGCGTTTAATGCCTCTTAAAGCTCCCTCACATTATATGGTTATGAATATGCTGCCTGGTGTCTGGGACATTGTTTTCCTAATGTTTTGAGGTAAGAATTTGCCCTAAAACACATTTTTAAAAGCCATTCATGGTGGAGGGGTACAATTGAGGGGTTTAAAGGCAAAATAGTCCCCAAAGGACATTTTATTTTTCCAAATTTACCACTATTTTACCATAACCAACATCACACATAAAAAAAATCAGAAGATGTAGATTCACTGGTTGTTTTGGGTAGTAAATAAAATGTCAAATGTCTGTTGTACACAAGGTGACCCCTGGTTCCCATCTCCGCCACTAAATAAATCTAAGCCGTCAAGTTTCTCTACAATTAATCAATACACATAAAACTATTATGAATGACTGTTTACATACCAATAACTGAACTATACAGACAATTTGAAAAATCGGTGAAACTCCCCTTTAACTGACTAAAGCTAACGCTAATTGAAACTAGCTAACTGCTGTGCATCCGATACTGCAACATCATACCTTTGGGAGAACTTGGCCAGGTTACAATGATATTGCGCAGACGCAGTAACAACGCCTCGCTAACCCCCCTGTAGGAGTCAGTCTGAGCTCAACTCAAATAATTTTTTTTTTTAATCACCGCTAGCTAGCACATGGGAATCAAGTTTGGAAGATGATACCGAAAGGCCATGGTTAATCCGGGAAACAAAGCCATCACTAATTCTGAACAACTAGCAGGCGACAGCTAAGCAGCTTCCCCACTTTCCAGGGGTTTGTAAAGCACCAATGCTTTACGAAAACATCATTTTAAAGCATCTGCACAGCCAGTCCACTTGCTGACTGGTTGCTAAGGCGTGCACGGTTAGCTAGTTAGCTAACGTTCAGCAGAGGCCATAGTGACGGGCATTTATCTCCTTGCAGGCTTAGCTAACTAGCTTTCTGATTTAGGTAATGCTTACTGACAGCTATCACGCCGCGGGAATAATCTGCAGTCCCTCAACAAGGAGGGCGTTTAATACACATTTTCATAGAAAATGTAACGAGGCTAAAGTCAGCTTCCTATTCCAATTTTCGCCGTTCCACCTTAAATAGTGCAGCAGTTACATTCTGGCGCCTCAGGCACCATTTAAGGTGGAACGGTAAAATTTGAACAAGAAGCTGTCGAATAAGAGGCTGAATTAAGGTTTGTGGAAACGAAACGCATTAATTCACCTTTTTCAAACAGCTCAAGATAGCTAGAAAGCTTAGCTAGGTGGCTAACACCATCGCTAGCCGATAATACGTACTGCTAGTTAGCTTAGCTAGCTAACAAGTTAGCGTCCCTTGCGCTGGTAGCACACTTACATGTTGGTATCAACTTCTAGCTTTCCCCAAGGTTACAGTTTTTCAACCGAGTGCCCTCGTATTTCGGGGGATGTGTTTGACGCGCGCTCTGCTAAATCTTGAACAAGCACACAAAGTAAACAGCCCTGCTGCTGCTGCTGGACTCGTTAGCGCAAACCTCCTCCGGCTGCCTCCTCGCGTGTCTTCGCTTTGCGTGGTGACGCAGCTCGTACTTTCTGGCCTCTTCTACGGCGCGTTCACGAAGCAGAGAGGGGGTTGGATCTCTGCGTGCCGGGTGACGGGCAGAAGTGGCGGCTCTTGTGACGGTTGGAACAGCCACTTCACCGTCACTTCGAGAGCTCCGAATGCGAAGCCGTCTCTATAGTAACGTGTGTGCCAAGTTGTTCAGCCGTTTAACTGTCTAGTAAACAGTCTAGTCAAAGCAAGTATGGCAAGTAAAGGTGTTACATATTAAATATTAAAATATTAATATTAAAGTAAAAAATTATACTATTAAAAAGAAAAGATTGACAAGTAAAAACTGACAAACCTCAATGAGTAAAGGCAAGTATGGCGAGTAAAAATTGTTAATACTATTTAAAAAAAAGAAATTTTATTAGTAAAAACTACCAAAACTTGATGAGAAAAGGCAAGTAAAAATGTTAATACTATTTTAAAAAATTGACAAGTAAAAAACTTACAAACCTCAATGAGTCAAGGTAAGTACAGCAAGTAAAATGTTAATACCTGTGAAAAAAAAGACAAGTCAGAAACTGACAAACCTCAATGTCAAACCTCAACCTACTAGGAATTATAGTTTAGCTTATAAGATTTTAATTCACACCCAGTTTCTCCCTATTCATTTTAAAGGAAGGAACAACAGAAGGGTTTTGTTCCAAAATGCATTATAGACCACATTCAAGAATTTCCTTTTTTCATGATACATGTTGCACACACATACAAGAAATAACATTGCTTGATCATGATTAATACCACCTTTACTGGAGAAATAAATATTCATTCTCCATTATAGGTCAGCTGATTTTCTTTTCAAAAGCAGCATTTTGAAACTCTTTTTTACAAGCATGAATTAAATTGTGAAATACTAATTATGTTACATTCAAATTGTTTTCACTGGGGAATTGGAAGTTGGAATTGCTCATGCAAAAATGTATTGAATCTGGTTTTGGTACAAAAACACATGCAAATGTTATAAATGATAACAAAATGAAAATAAAATACAAGAAAAATGTAATTAATAGCACAGAGTAGTAATAGTACACTTGGTTACTCTCCACCCTGCAAGCTGGTTTACCAGTTTGGTCCAGCTGGCTGTTCATGGAGGGTCATAATTACAGGCTATGTTGACTGATCAGCTCCATGTTGCCTGTCTCGGTCATGGTATGTGCAAACAACAAAAGATCACCAGTGAAACCGGTAAAGGCTGATGACCATCAGTGTCTGATCTCACTGTGCATCTTCGATGTAGCTGTCCTCCAAATGCATCAGTCATAAGAATGGTTCTTTAACTTTGTTTCAGTAAGTGCTTATATTATTAATATTAATGTGTGAAAAAGATCTTCAACAGAGTACAGTTAGTTGTATTCTTGGATAAATACCACATCCATAATGTCAGAGTGATGCATATTAAACCTCATCTGAAAGTTTACTGTACAGATCTTATCTCCTGTCATCAACCTCTTTTTAAAGAAGTCACTAACCATAAAGCTATGAGGATGTCTTCTATTAAAAGAATTTTGAGTAGTGAAAGGTTTAAATGCTAAAAATATCTTTCCATATGTTACACATGTTCATGTTTGTGTTTGGTGTAGCATGTCAACATAATACTGTACTGTCAATCTTTTGCAGTAAAATAAACAATATTATATTATTATTATATTGTTGTTATATAATATGTACATAATATTATGCAAGATTATATTATTACCTTGTCCTCCTTCTTTCTCACTTAAGTTCTTTATAATAAGTTCAACGCTGGCTTGATGAGTGATATTTAAAATAAACAAAAATAAATGTGAATGGATCAGACTGAAATCATAAACATACACTATTCATGTGGGACTTTTATTCTAGAAAAAAAAAATATTGAGCAAGAACTGGGTTTGCCAAAGTGCACAGGTAACCCATTCCACCTCCAGCTAATCTGACAGTGGACTAATTTAAAAAGAAAAAGCCTCTTAAGTGCCATTCAGCGTTTACACTGAGCAGGGCGCCATGCAGTGGACAGATCAGCCTGGACTTTAATCCTGTCCAATCTAAGAGTGACGAACTTCCTGCTTACATTATCATGCATCCTACGTGTGATCCATTGTAATTGGGGGAACTGTAGGAGAGAAAAGATGACACAGAAACAGTCCGTGTACGGTGCCAGTACGGTTAAGAAAAAAACACAGTCGTCGTGACTGACCGAAAACAAACGGAGCCATGACTGCTTCCACTGTTTACATGCCTTCCGCGACCAAGGACAGGACGTGGGACCGGGAGAGCAGGAGAACAGCCTGAGTTGGTGCAGGTTTAGACTATCTGGACTCGCGGGGCGAGCAGGGCCAGTTCGACTCCAGTGTCTTTGCTTTGAAGGTAAATACAGTAAATACAGAGCTCGCCTCGTCGTTTCATCGAATGGAAAAGTACTTTCAGCTCGCAGTTTATCCCCCTGTACACCGACCTCTTCCGGCAGAGTCAGTACAGAAGGTGAGAGAAACACAACAGCTTTTAAAAACAAGCTTTAGCTCACGAGACACTGGACAAACATGCAACAGTGTCTGCGATCGATTAGACACACCTGCTAAGATGTCTCAAAGCAGCTTAATGTGTCGATCTGACCTGTACGTATTTCTTTTCTGAACAGGCTTATAAACCTGCAGTTAAAGAGAATTTATGGGATCACAAGGTAAATGAGAACTTTTTTTTATTAAATATAATAAAATAGTAAGCTTTCCGTTTGTTGTCATGCCGCCGTGAGCGGGGGGCGGGGCTTGGAGCACGGTCCCTTTGTTTATACCGCGAGGGGATTTTACCGATGGGTAGTTAGATTCAGTTTACCGAACCGATTCTTTGAACTGTTCGTTTTTAATAAACCGAGCGTTCGATTTAGTGATTCGTTTTCATGCCAGACAGGGCATTGGGGCGACAAGAAGTGAAGCCATCTATTTTATTATTGTGTATACACCCATAAACCAACATTAAACTACCTCCTTGCTTCTACACTCATTGTCCATTTTATTAGCTCCACTTACTATGTAGGAGCACCTTGTAGTTCTATAATTGCAGACTGTAGTCCATCCGTTGCTCTGCATGCTTGTTAGCCCCCTTTCACCCTATCCTTCAATGGTCAGGACCCACCACGACCACCACAGAGAAGGTATTATTTGGGTGGTGGATCATTCTCAGCACTGCAGAGACACTGGTGTGGTGGTGGCGTGTTAGCGTGGGTTGCACTGGTATAAGTGGATCAGACACAGCAGTGCCGCTGGAGTTTTTAAACACTGGGTCCACTCACTGTCCATTCTATTAGACCCTCTTACCTTGTTGGTCCACACTGTAGATGTAAAGTAAGAGACAGTAGCTCATCTGTTGCTGCACAGTTTGTGTTGGTCATCCTCTAGTCCTTCATCACTGCACACAGAACATTGTTGGCTGGATATTTTTAGTTGGTGGGCTATTCTCAGTCCAGCACTGAGGTGTTTAAAAACTCCAGCAGCACTGCTCTGTCTGATCCACTCATGCCAGCGCAACACACACTAACTGAATTTGAAGTCAAGTCCAGTTTATTGTGTATGGAGAACACAGCATGTTGAAAAAAGCCAGCAGCAGAAGCCAATTCTGAGAGGTTTGTTAAATGTTAGATTTAATTTTGTAAGTTTGTGAGGTTTCACGGCGAAAGATTCTTATTGCGATTCTAATTTTATTAGAATCCCCTAGCTTCAAGTTGTGAATTGTGAATCAGTTGTTTGAATTAATTGAAACGAATCGATTCAGAAGAAGAACCGATTCGCTCACGATTCGGACATTGCTGGTGGATTTTAGGAGCAGCTGCAGCTGATTCGATTTGGCGCCTGTTGATGTTTGACGTTCTCTTCTTCGCGTGACGATAAACTCCGCTCAGCTCCTCAGCAACATTTGGCAACTTCGAGAACATTCTGTGTTGAATGCATGAGGTCTGCTGATAAAGGCACCGGGAGAAGAGCAGCATACTGTCTCGTCCGGCTCGGTACAAGAAACACAGATAAGGTAATGCGAATAGTGTTTGTTATTTGCGGGCGGAGAAAAGCGGTTTGTGTCGTTTTTCGTGACAGTTCGCTTCCCTTACGACAATATCTTTACGTCAGCGTTACCTCACTCAGCGTCCACAGCACAGGCGAGGCTGAAGTCAGGTTTCTATTCTCCAGCTTCTTGTTCGAATTTCACCGTTCCACCTTAAATGGTGCAGCAGTTACATTCTGGCGATTGAGGCTGACTGACTTCAGCTTAGTACAGCATAGCAGCTTTGGACATTTCTCGAGGTGTGTTGAGAAGGCAGAATTGTTCGGTGTAGCTAGGGCCTACCAGGTCTGAAAATAATAAATTCTTGGGTGAGTGTGGACTAGATAATGTTCTATTCACGTTACATGGCATTTCTTTTCTGCCCAAGTGTATCCGATGTCTGCTGTGAGTAAATGTGCTTACAGCGCCCGGCAACGTCACGTGATTTGTCTACGTAAAACCTGCCCCTCATAACTGTCATAACAGAATAAGTCTTGCCATTAAAAAAAGCACCATGATTTGAGCTGGCATGATAACAGTTTGCAGTGTTCTGAGCTGATACTGTAGTACATAACAAACCCTAGGAGTAAAACACATAGTGTATTAGATGTGTTATTAGATAATTTTTTTTTATTTAAACATTGGAATTTGTTTAAAAAATAATAATCCTTTTATTTGTCACCTTTTGAAATTTTTCTTTTATGTCTAGTTTCATCTGATGAGATGAGTGTGCGTGCGGGGCAGGGCAGTGACGAGGTGTTGGTGTCTCAGGCTGTGTGGGATTATCTCGCAGCGGCTGGGCGACCCTGGCTGCTCGACTTTGAGGATAAGCAGGGTCTAAGTGCTGGCATCATCCGGCGTGGGGAGCGCGGTGGCTGCTGCGCGGTGCGGCTCTCTCCAGTGGAGGGCAGCAGCAGGGCCAGGACCGGCATGATGGAGGGCCCAGTGTCCCCTGCCACACGGAAAGCCTTTATAGACCTATGCCGTTGTGCCCGCAAGGAAATGACCAAACAGGAGGCTGCTCCCAAGAGAAAGCGCTCTCTGTTACCCTGCGTTGGGGTGATGGAAGTGGACGGGGAGGGCAGTTTACTTCCTCCTCCTCCGCCACAGCCACGTCGTTCTCAGAGGCAACAGCAGCAGAGGTACAGGAGAAGTGCTGATATGGAGACCAGTGTGGTTCTGCCCATGCAGCATGAGGCCACCACAAGGACTGAAGCTGAGCTGAATGTAGGCCAGCCAAGTGAAGAGGATGGTGCCAGCTGCTCCATCTGCATGGACGAGATAGTGGAGAAGACTACTCTAGAGAAGTGTGGCCATTCCTTCTGCCGTTCTTGCTTGGATCAAGCTTTCCAGGTGAAGAAGGCTTGTCCTGTCTGCAGGCTGGTTTATGGTCAGCTCATTGGGAACCAGCCAGCCAACGGTAGCATGATGGTGGAGAGAGACCCAGACCTGGAGCTGCCTGGGCATGAAGGATATGGCTGCATATGCATTATCTATAGCTTCCCTCCAGGGTTCCAGTCAGTAAGTATATCAGCAAAGTGCAGAATAAATGGGTTTTGTTTTTTTTAATGTGGTGGTTTGGCCAGCAGTCTAATTTACAATTTACACCCCAGATGCAGTCAATTAGTCAACATGTGCTTAGTGTTTGACATTTATTTCTTTAGCTTTGACAGTGAGTTATGATGCTAATGCAGCTAACATGTAATGGAAACTTTTAGCTCCCGGTTAGCGTTGCCCAAACCGCAAACCTGCATCACACACTTTGCCTCAAACCAAGTGATTTCTGACACTGATGTCTGACATACGACACTGACAGTAGCCTGAAAGCTCCAGTGCAAAACAGTATAGACAACTACATGTCTTGACTGATTGACTGTGAAAGTTGTGTAAATTTTAGTGGAACTATCGCTTTGACTTGCCAGAAAAACAGTGACCCTCTCCTACTAATGCTGAATCAGCTTAAATGGCTTCTTTCAGATACTCTAACCTGCTGTTTTATGTATCTTTTTCATTTTTTTAGCAAGAGCACCCAAACCCTGGAGTGCGGTACCCAGGCACAGACCGTGTAGCGTATCTACCGGACAGTCCTGAGGGAAACCGTGTGCTGCGCCTGCTGCGGCGGGCTTTTGAACAACGGCTCATCTTCACTATAGGAACCTCCATGACTACAGGCATGCATAACGTCATCACCTGGAATGATATCCACCATAAGACCTCTATATGGGGTGGACCACGATGGTATGTTATCTAGTATGAATAGTCAAAATTAAGCAGCTGAAAAATAGGCCTAATAATGTGGCGTCCTGTGAGCCCTGTCTCTGATTTGAGTTCCAGCTGTGCTGTTTGCATAATGTGGTTGGATGCCAGCAACTCACTTTGTTTTTTGCTAAATGATGCTTTAGTCAGACATACGTAGTCCTGCGGGAAAGCCATGCAATTAGCCTTTTCCTCCAAGCATAATGAGGCACCTGAGAGAGCTTTATGGCTAGTCCCTTAATTATATATATTGGCAGCCTTCATACACACTGGGGGAAACAGACACAAACTTTATCCTCCCAGTTTGGTGGTGCTGAGGTGCAGTAGATAGAGATCTAGTACTCTGGAAATTAAGTCTGAATGACATTATGAAAAACTCCCATGAGTTAAAAATGAGTTATCTAGTTAAATGTTTCCCATAGGGAAGTAATTGTCATTCTAGTAATGGAAAGGATGTTTTTAGAGGTGGAATTAAAGTAGTAGTTTATATGTTCTGGTTAGGGCTGCACGAATGGAGAAAATACCATATTGCGGATATTTTGCTACACATTGTGATTGCATTAGTCCTTCAAATATATTGAAAACACTTTAGGGAGCCCTTGATGTGGTTAAATGTTGACCTAAATTATTTTTGATCAAAGTTAATGATGTTGGATTATGTGAATGACTTGATTTGTCCAGACCATCCAAAACTGGGATCCAATTTAATGCAAAACAGTAAAAAAAAAGTCTTCTTTTTCAGCTTTGGCTACCCAGATCCTACATACCTCGTGCGGGTGACTGAGGAGCTGCGGGAAAAGGGAATAACAGACGACTGATTCTTTGATACGCAGGACGTTGGGCTTACTATGGGACTGGCAAATGGGCTGACTTGACCACAGACTCTCCACAGGTTTACTGTGACAACGCAAGTCACAGCCATGTTCTGCAGCAATGGTTTAGACAAGAAGATTCTTTGTGCACCAAGTTTGTTTTGTTTCTTTTTTGTTTAAACTTGCTCTTGGAGTGATGCGTTATAAGTGAGTGCAGTGCATTCCACACATACCTTTTTATTTCTCTTTTGTATTTTTTTCCAAATGGAGCACTTTGGAAGGACAAGAGTCCAGAGTACTGTGGTTGCTGAACTTAAGTAGCCAGTGCATTGCAGAATCACAAGTGTTTCAGAACCATCCAGCTTCCTTCTGCTGTGGTAGTGGTAGGAAGTGCACTGTTTTTGTGTTCCAAGCTGATGAGAATTACTGGCTTTCTCTTTTAACCTCCGTTTAATCCACGATTAGTGGTCTTTGGCTGCTTCCATAAAACATCTTAAGTATTTATCTTAAGTTAAAAGCTTAAGAGATACGCTTTAAAGCTGTTTATTTACATATAAACAGATGTCAAAAACTGAAGGGCTGAATCGTAAACTTAGGGTCTAGAATTCAATTTACAATAATGGATTTTTTTTCACTTTGCATTTACATTTCCTTGAAGAGATTTTACTCAGCTCACTTAAGGTCAAGAGACAAAATTTACTTAAGATGTTTTATACAAGTGACCACTGGTCATATTCTCTCGTCTGAAAAGAACGGGGATGCACACTCTTAAAATAAAGATGACAAAAGGAGTTATTTGGAATGATACCGTAGAACAACCACTTTTGGCTCCCTAAAACAGTGGTTTTCAAACCAGTACTCGGGGCCCTCAGATGGTCCATATTTTTGCTCTTTCTTTATGTGTTGGCAATTGGGATTGAGCAAAAAGGTGGGCCACTGGGTGGGCTAGTTTAAGAACCAAAGCTCAAAAGAACATTTCAGTGGATAGTTCTTTAAAATAGTACTTTTTAGATTTTTTCTCTATCCTTGTTTGCTCAAAATGAGATTAAGCAAAAATGTGGGCAGCCCTGAAGACTGGTTTGAGAACCACTGCTTGAAGAACTCAGTTGACCACTCAGTTAAAAGGTTCAGTTTCCTAGTCCTGCTCCTACACTCTTAAAAAAGATAATTCTTCAAGGGTTCTTTAGTAAAGAAAGTGATTCTGTGTGGAACCATGAACAATCAAGGGACCCTTTGCATGATTAAAATGGTTCTATACAGAACATTTTGGAGAAAAAAAAACACTCAAAAGGGTTTTTCTATTGTTACGGTATCAAGCTTGTAATAATAAAAGAACCATTTTCAAAAAGGTTCTATATAGAACCGTCTATAGCACATTTATGTACGTTTTCTATCAATCTGAAGAACCCTTTCATGAGGCAAAGAACCCTTTAATCATGCAAAGGGTTATTTGAGTGTTCATGGTTCTATATAGAACTATTTTTTTTATTGAAAAACTTTTGAACCATCCATTCTAGGAGTGTAGGGACCCACAGCATTGCATTTTCTTTGGATTTCAGATCACAGACGCATCTAACATTTGTGGTGGGTCCCCTGGAGCAGTACTGGGAAACACTGCTTTAGGGAATCAGAAGCGGTTCTTCTTTGGACGGAGTGGGGAACTGAGAGCCTGAGTCCAGCACTGTTTCGTGATTTCTCTGCTCTGATGCAACAACTAAGCCTAGAGGTGTGTTTGAACAGGAAAATTGCCAAACTGTGTAGGAATCCAGCCTCCAATTTCTTTTTTTTCGATGGAATCACTCCAACGAACTCTTTTTGGGACCTTTACTTTAAGGAATGTAATGAACAAATGACCTCCCACAGCTTTACTGATACTCCTGGGACAATCCCACTCAAGCAGGTTTTTGCTTGTTTGTTTTCTTTAAGCAGCACTATAAGGCACTTTGCAGTGATGGAAGTGAGTTACTAATGGAGATCTTTGCGATCGTAAGGAATCTAACAGCTACTACAGTCTGATGTCAATCCCTCTGAGCTTTTTATCTTCTTATAAACTTCCCCTTTGTCTGATCAAGTGAAAAGGGTAGTCTTGCATTTCAGGACTATGGAGAAAAAAGGCCTTGTTTTTGTGTTTGGCCAATTGATTATCTGTAATTCGTGTTCTGTTAATGTTCAGAACCTCCCTATAAGGAATCGCTGCTGCTATCAGGTCAGCGCTGAATTCTGGGGCAGGAGAAAATGTCAAGTGAAGATCTCCTGCCCCGACTGAAATGTTCAGAAGGTTTCTTTAGCATGTTTACATTTAGAAGATTTCTATTAATTGTCTATTAGTAAATGCAGTATTGCTGCAGTTGCTGATTGGGGCTTTAATGTTCAAAGTTGATCAGATTTATAAGATGATGTCATTATAAAAGGTCCTGCTGACCACCCTGAGCAAAACAAAAGGCACAATCATTCCACAGTGTAACTATCATACCTTAACCTCAAAGCCAGAGAATGCTAATGATTTATTTCCACGATGGTAGGCTAGCTTCGTTTATAGCACACAAAACAATGTTCAGTGTTTTTCAATGTTCAAGTGAATATCTGAAGTATATGCAGCAGTTTATGATTGGGGGAAAATATGCAGTAATGTTTTTACATCATTCGAAGTGTTGATGTACTTTCAACTAAATTCACGGCATGATAAAACTAACGATAACCATTTCTACATAGTAGGTGTTCATGGGTTAAAAATCGGAAGCCTTTGTTTGTTCAGGTGTTCTGTCTCTAAGTAGAGACGTGCCTCACAATAGTGTACTTGCTCTAGAATTCGGTTCACAGATGACTGAAGGCATAAAAAATCTTAGTTTCAACTATGCCACAAATATCAGGTTTCAGATCAGATTCATTTCAGACTCATCAGAAAGAAAGAAGTGTAGAATATCTGTAAAGCTGGTAAACATTTCCTTTGTTCGCCCCTCTTTCTTTTTGTTTTACGGGACCAATTCAGAGGTACCTTTGAATGATGTATAGGTGTACCTATCATGCAAAATTCTATGCAGTTCAAGTTAGATGGGAAGAAAATAGACCTCTTCAGATAATTGATTGTTAATCAAGTTAATGATTTGCCTTTATGATTGTGTTGATTTGTACATGACAAAACTGTCTGCTACAATTTAAAATGTGTGCTTTACATTTTCATACTTGAATAAAGAGTTCTGTTCAGTTGCTTTGTGTCTTGAGAGATTTTCTCACTGCTAATAATGCTTCTTACTTCAGCTGAAGCAATTTTAGAAAGATATGAGTGAAATTTGGAGGAAATTTGATGAATCGCAGGTTTTTACATGCAATATCTTGTTTTACATTGAATATCATTGTTTGAACAAAACCTCTTCAAAATGTTAACTTTCCAGGAGAAGTTGTAATGGGAGCTATACGATTTTTTCATATTAATTTGGGATCATTCTATTGGTGGTGTTCATTATAAAATTTTAACACAAAGCAAAGGGTGACTGGAATTTTCAAGTTATGCAAAAAGTGGAAAACAATAGAAATGCTTTTTTATGACAGTGACAATATGCAATATTCTTCATTGTTTGCTTTATATTCAGTGCTCTGGGTTGAATGCAGTGGGACACTTAAAAAGAAAAACACTGATTTTTCACAATTTCTCCATAATTCAGTCATTGAGATAAATAAAGCATAATTTGATGTGAAATGGTGGTGATAAGAACCTAGAGTGACACTACCTACAGCACAAGAACAGCTCTTTTATTTACTATTCAAACAACCAGTGAACCTACTCATGTTTTCTGAGTTTTCATATGTAATGCTGATTATGGTAAAATAGTGGTAAATGTGGAAAAAGGGTTTTCTTTGAGGACTATTTGTCTTACAACGCCCTGCATGTACCTCTCCACCATAAATGGCTTTAAATAAATGCATTTTAGACCAAAACTTTCTCAAAACAATGTCTCCAGCAACAGGCAGCATATTCATAACCATGTCACGCCTGGTTCCTATTGTAACCACTGTGAAGTATTCTCACTGTAATTTTCTCTAGAAGGGAGCATTTCATATCAAATCACTCTGAATGACTTTGTTTACGTCTTGACAATTTAATCACAGAGACACATAAAAAATTCTATATGGAATTTCCCTGTAATGTATTACAGTTTCCGTTCTGATATTAACAGCATTATGTATATTCTCTATATACATTTTAACAATGTATAGCCTATTAAACTTCATTCAAATATGATCCCATGAGAATATGAAAGCAGTCCGTTTTAAAGCTTGGGTCAGATACTGAACATGGTGCTTTTAGGGCTGTTTTTTTTCTTTTGTATGAGTCTTCAGCAGGGGGCACTACTACTCCACTCTTGATAGATTAAGATATTCTTACACAGGGGCTCCAGCAGAAAATAAAATGTCAGAAATGTCTTTTTTTTAAACTATTAGCAGAATTAAATTCTCAGATAATGTCTGAAAGACTGGGTTGAAACTAATCCAGAATGGTGCACCCAACTGGGAACAACCCCATGTTTTAGCTCCATGTTGTCTTAGTCAGGCTAACAACCTCCAGTATATTTATGAATGTGCATATGTTGAGTAAATAATATCCACAATGGGATTTATGGGCATGTTGCTTCCAAATCAGGAACATAAGGCCTTGGGAATGTAGGGCCTTGGGAACATAGGGCCTTGGGAATATAAGGCCATGGGAACACAGGACCTTGGGAATATAAGGCCTTGGGAACATAGGGCCTTGGAAATATAAGGCCTTGGGAACACAGGACCTTGGGAATGTAGGACTTTGGTAACATAGGGCCTTGCAAATATATGGCCTTGGGAATGTAGGACCCTGGGAACATAGGGCCTTGGAAACATAGGAACCTTAGAAAATTAGAATCTTAGGAACATAAGGCTTTGGAACAAAGGACATTGGGAATATAGGGTAATGGGAACATAAGGCTTTGGGAGCATAGGGCCTTCATAAAATAGGACCTTTGGAACATAAGACTTGGAGACATAGGGCCTTGGGAATATAAGACCTTGGGAACATAGGGCCTCAGGAAAATATGACGTTGGGAACATTGGACCTTGGGAATATAAAACCTTGGGAATATAGTGCCTTGGGAATATAGGGCCTTGCATTGAGATCTTGAGAAAAGATACAGCAGCACTGTATATTTCAATAGAAATATATGAGAATATTTGTTGTGCTAAAAAATCCTTAATGCAGCTTGTCATATTGTTAGACTGTTAAACGTGTAAGAAAGCACAGGTTAGGTAGCTGATTGCTTTTGTCTGCAAACCCCAAGAAGAGGGAGCTAGCGCTACTTTCCGCATGAGCAACTAGAGGACCGGCTGCTGATGAAGGATGAAGTGATGGAGCAGGGGAGAGAGAAGTGAAGAGCAGAAAAGGAAGAAATTGAGGAGATAGTTTTGAGATCATGAGCTCTGCTCAAAAAACGTGGAAGTGATTTCCAGGTACAAGGCCTTGACAAAATGCAAAGTGGATGAGCAGGCCGAGAGAGTGATAAAAACAGAGAGAAGATATGATTCTATCAGCAACTCCTGTCATAGCTTTGCTGAAACACAGAGTGGTGCAAGATCTGAAGCAGAAACAAGCATGACAAAACCTGAATCAACATGACAAGGAATGAAAGGAAAGAATAGAAGAAGATTCAGAACATGCAGACTGAAGAACCCAAAAGGCAAAACAAAGCAAAAAGAAGCATGAAAGACATGAGTGAAAAGAGAAGCTTCTGGGATAAATGCCTGTGCTGTGTTTAACAGGAGAGAGTGAAGACTCAAAGCAGCTGTGGAATAAAAAAATGAGACTGAATGACTTTTAAAACCCTCAATAAACATTACTGGATGCTTGTAACAATGATGTTTGTAATAGGCCTACAACAAAGTACAAAACTCAACAAATAACTATATACAGAAGAAACCAAATCCTTACGTAGAATCTGGGTTTAAATAAATATTCAGATCTAAATAGCTGATTCTTGACTATTCTGGATCTTGAATATGACTTCATTAATGAGAATGATGTGTATAAGAATGTGTTTTACGATTATAGGAGAAATAGAAGTGGATCTTTGACATCAATACGTCTACCAGAGTTAAAATGTGCTTTCACTTCAGCTGATTTCAGGAGGAATTAATGCATTTCTTTATTACTGTATGAAAGCTAAAGGCCACAGAGGGGAGAGGGGACATTGTGAAATTTTTCCACAAGGCAGTAGTCTTGGCACAAAGCACATTAAACAGTCCTGCAGATCCTTAAAAAGTCTTACATGGTCTTAAAATATCTGAATAAACAAATGGAGAAACATAACGTTTGCAGATGCCTCCAGATATGTATACTGAATGATACAATTAACTGAATGGGTAATTGATCACTGAATGAGTGACTATGGCACAGTCACCAGATCTCAACCAAACTGAACACCAATGGAAGATTTTGATGGGAGATATTGTTAGACAGCGCTTTCCACCGCATTATCAAAACAATAGCTGGATTATCTTTGAGAAAATTGTGTTTCATCCCTCCAGTACAGATCAAGAGACTTAGAATTGACTTTAGAATCATAGAATTGATGCCAAGGTGCACTGAAGCTTGTAGAATGTATTCCAAGTTCAAGGCAGATTTTGAAGGTCTAATACTTTGTTTAGATTTCCCTTAATTTGTCACCCATCTCTATACAGTGTGTACATCTATATATCCATGTTCTGAGTTTATATGACTAAAAACTGCTGATTTGATGATGCATTGACCACACTCTTTCTGTTAAATGTAGCTACTTTTTAAAACTTTTTTATGTTTGCATAGCTACATTAGCCTCATAGCTGCAGTGCACAACTAAAAAAAGCCAACTTCAGATACCAAAAATGGCTTACCTGAAGGACCATATTTGGGTAAGGTGAAAATCGTCACAATCTATTATCTTATGGCTTTATTACATAATTAGAATATGAAAATGTGTAGCCCTTTGTGTTACTTTCAGTATAGCAACACTGAAGAGATCATTGCCTGAAAAACTAGTGCATGCTTGTTGGCACCCACCAATAGATTCATTTTAGTGTATCCAGACTTCAGACATGGACCCTCACAGAGCAGGTACTATTTGGGTGGTGGATCATTCTCAATGACATGATGGTCGTGTGTTAGTGTGTGTTGCGCTGGTACAAGTAGATCAGACACAGCAGCACTGCTGGAGTTTTTAAACACCGTGTCCACTCACTGTCCACTCTATTAGACACTCCTACCTTGTCAGTCCACCTTGTAGATGTAAAGTCAGAGACGATAGCTCATCTGCTGCTGCACAGTTTGTGTTGGTCATCCTCTAGTCCTTTATCAGTGGTCACAGGACGCTGCCCACAGGATGCTGTTGGCTGGATATTTTTGGTTGGTGGACTATTCTCAGTCCAGCAGTGACACTGAGGTGTTTAAAAACTCCAGCAGCACTGCTGTGTCTGATCCACTCAGACCAGCGCAACACACCACCACACCACCACCACATCAGTGTTACTGCAGTGCTAAGAATGATCCACCACCCAAATAGTACCTGCTCTGTGAGGGTCCTGTGGGAGTCCTGACCACTGAAGAACAGGGTGAAAGGGGGCTAATAAAGTATACAGAGAAACAGATGGACTACAGTCTGTAACTGTAGAACTACAAAGTGCACCTATATAGTAAGTGGAGCTGATAAAATGGACAATGAGCGTAGAAACAAGGAGGTGGTCATAATGTCATGCCTGATCGGTGTATGATTTAGGCCAAAACCTTAATTCAGAACTATCATCAAACAACATCTCAGGCACCAGGCAACATATTCATAACCATTTCATGTGAAAACTTTCTGTGTAAGAGCTTTTAGCAGCATTAAACACACGTCTGGTTCCTATCACGAGCACTGTGGACAATTCTGACTTGGTAAGGTTCTCTATAATGGAGCATTTGACTGTTCTGTACAATTTTGTTTTCATCTTAACCTTTTAACTGTACAGAGAATTTTACAAATAGATGGAATTTCACTTTAAAATCAGCAGATGCAGCAAATGTTATAGGTAAATCTCAGTTACTCTGCACTAGAAACTCAGCCGACCACATTGCAGGACTCTTGGTGTCCACTAGAGTGCAGAAGAGAGTGCTTCACATGGCGTGAAAGTGTGATGCTGTTGCCAAGAGCGCCTCTCCTGTTCCCATATGTTGG